TCCCCTTTTAACCCCAAAATTCCCATTTTTCACCCCAAAACCCCATTTTAACCCCAAAATTCCCATTTTTCAACCCAAAATTCCCACTTTTAACCCCAAAATTCCCATTTTTACCCCTCCCAGTCCATCCCAGTCCTTCCCAGTTTATCCCAGTTTATCCCAGTCCATCCCAGTTTATCCCAGTTTATCCCAGTTTATCCCAGTCCATCCCAGTCCACTTTAAACCCCAAAATTCCCATTTTTCACCCCAAAAACCCCCATTTTTCCCCCTCCCAGTCCCTCCCAGTTTATCCCAGTCCATCCCAGTTCATTCCCAATCCTCTCCCAGTCCATCCCAGTCCACTTTTAACCCCAAAATTCCCATTTTTCACCCCAAAACCCCCATTTTTTCCCCTCCCAGTCCATCCCAGTCCATCCCAGTTTATCCCAGTCCATCCCAGTTTATCCCAGTTTATCCCAGTTCATTCCCAATCCTCTCCCAGTCCATCCCAGTCCCCTTTAAACCCCAATTCCCCATTTTCCACCCCAAAATCCCCAATTTTTCCCCTCCCAGTCCATCCCAGTTTATCCCAGTTTATCCCAGTCCATCCCAGTCCACTTAAAACCCCCAAAATTCCCATTTTTCACCCCAAACCCCCCAATTTTTCCCCTCCCAGTCCCTCCCAGTCCGTCCCAGTTTATCCCAGTCCATCCCAGTTCATTCCCAGTCCATCCCAGTCTTCTTTCCACCCCTAAATCTCCCATTTTTCACCCCAAAACCCCCATTTTTTCCCCTCCCAGTCCATCCCAGTCCATCCCAGTTTATCCCAGTTTATCCCAGTTTATCCCAGTTCATTCCCAATCCTCTCTCAGTCCATCCCAGTCCATCCCAGTCCACTTTTAAACCCCAAAATTCCCATTTTTCACCCCGAAAACCCCATTTTTCACCCCAAAACCCCATTTTTTCCCCTCCCAGTTTATCCCAGTCCATCCCAGTTTATCCCAGTCCATCCCAGTCTCACCCCCTCCGTCCCCCCCCCGTTTTTGGGGGGGGTCTCTCCTTTGCCGCGGTGCACCATGGGAGCTCCGGGGGTCCCTCCCCTCCCCCCCGCTGCGCTCGCGGCCGCTCCGGGCCCCGGTGACGTCACCGCAGGGGGGGGCGTGGCCTCACCCGGTCCCGC